TTTTATTTTTAATTTTACTGTTCAAAACAGTTGGAAACACTGGAACATTGGTACATTTAGGAAATAAATTTTCATGGAGAATGCATACTTGCCAATTTAAGAAAATATTGGATCAGATTTTGAAAAGTGATAATATAATAATATGCATGGTTACCGATTAAAATTTTTTCTAACAATTAAACTACTTTGCCAATCCATAAAAACATAATCCCTTTACTATTATAACTTATATACATATATTTGAATTATTGAGTTAGCCTAGTAGACAAAATTTGACTTTCAAAATTAAGATTCATGTATTAAAATACAGTAAAACTTCCTTCGTTACACATGAGAAATTGGTTATTACGAGAAGTGGTTTGTTTCCAGAATTGTTAACAATTTCCAAAATAATAAGCCTAAATATATATGTAAATTAGTCAAATTTTGTATTCATAAAAAACGAACATTAAAGCCATTGCTAGTGATGACATTTATTGAAAACTACATAATACAAGAGTTTTTGTATAAGCATATTCTTAAGATTGTTAAGTATGAAGAAATTTCAGATTGTTAAAATTTTTCCTCCCTAACAGATCATTCTATACAGTCAGACCTCGATATAAGGTCACCCCGCATATAAGGTCACTTTTCCAAAGTCCCAGCTCACTGAATAGGAATTCTTTGTTACAGATTATCGGATATATGGTCAAGTTTTAAAAATCGTTATCGCTTATAAGGTCATCTTTATCTGAGGCGAGGGGAGCTCTTTTCTAACAAAAGCCTAATTAATTTCCTTACAGAGCAATTACCCCTCTCAAGTTCTAGGAAAATGTTGCAGCCAACGAACAAGCTACAATTTTTGAAATTGTTTCACAAGTTGTGGACAGTGAGGACAATGACAGTGATCCAGAGATTGTAGCTGTAAGCCAAGTAGAAGCCTTCAATGCATTAATGTCCTACAAAATTTTTGTACAAACCATGAGGAAGCTGAGGAACATTTTGAGAAGTTATGAAATCCAGAAAACATTGTTCGAAAAATGAAACCAAAAACAAGACAGACCTGCATAAATGATTATTTTAAATAAGGTAAGATGTAATGTATGTATGTACACTTTGAGGAAATTTGTAAACAGCTTTATATTTAATAAAAAAAAAATTTAAAATCTCCAACTTTCTTTAATTCTTTACTAATTCCGTTAAAATTGATTGACAATATTTAATTTATGACCGATCGTTTTCGTTTGTATTACCATTTTTAAAGAATCATTATGTGTACTATTTATGTGCTTAGTTACGAACTGCTATTTAATCGGTTAAAAGGTCACCCCGCTTATAAGGTCCCTTTTGCGATGTCCCTTAGGATGACCTTGTATTGAGGTCTGAGTGTATTTCCCTTTTATTTTGTAATTTTACACAAGACAAGAAATTTTTTAAATAGGGTCATCAATAAACGATTGCCTGCAGAGGATTATCTGGTATTTTCTAAAGGACTGTTTAACATTACACTAACAGAGTAAAAAATTGGTGCATTAAAAAAAGTGGTAGTTAAAAGAGAGGTGGTCTCTCGAATAAGTTTCACTGTATAACTGTAACAACGACTACAAAAAAAATTCCAAACTTATTTTGGTGCTTAAAAAAATTTCAACGACTGTACAAAGAAGGCATGTTCAAAGCTTCAAATTCAAGTCACATTACTGGAAATAGGAATATCCATTGGAATATTATCTACATAGTAACATAATAAAAAATATAGTATAAGAAAATCAATTATATATTTTATCATAGTGAAAAATAAACAAAAATACTTACAGCAACCATATCTTCAATAGCTGTAGCAGACTTTGAACCAAGCATAACTAGACCCATAGCAACACCTGCTGCCTCGCCTGTAACTGCATCGTCTTGATATAAATTGAACTTTAATTGTTCATAAACATCTATAAAAAAAAAATAAGTTATATTGCAAGATAAAAAGGAGCATATGAATATAAATAGATGCCATAATTTACCCATTAAATATATTACTTCATTATATTAAATGACACGCTCAAGCTCAAATTTAAGCACTGATCATGCTTAATTAATACAAACATTTATCTGGCTCACGAAAAACTTTATTATGTATTAAACTTAACTCAGGTAATCACAAATGAACTAGATATAAGCTAAAAATCAAGATAAATAATTCAACATTTGTGTTAATTATTTCAATGAATTTTTAGTAATAAAATATGGAACCAAATGTAAAACAAAGAAAAAACCTTCCAGCCAGGAAAAAAAAGATATTACAGTAGAAAGGTTTTGCTAATTACAAAAAATACTAATAATGGTCAAGACAGTATTAATATTATGAAATAATGAATTATTTATGTTGATAACTAAAATTACTTATAAAGATATCAATTTCGTTTTTTACTTCAAGAATGGTTTAAATTAGACAAGCCTTTTTTTTCAGACCTGTGATGTCAGAAAACTGCTTTCAGACACCTGTTTTCAATTCTTGTTTGTGTAAATAGGATATCATGAAGAAAAATCTTTTATTGACTATAAGTATGCAATATCGCCATTTCTAAATTGAGGTTTAAATTAAAAGCAAGACCATACAAAACACTAATGTTTTTATTCAAATATAGGCAAATGTGTCAAAATATGCAAATCAGAAAAGTATAGTTTTAGTAGTAAAACTTATATGAATTCAATTAATAACCAGCATTAGTTCTTAAATTACAAAACACATTTTTTAAAATAAGCCTAAAATTTTTTTTACATAATATTTTACATTTTAAAAACAATTCATAACACTTGATTCTAATACATATGATTGAAACATGACTTAAAAATTTATAATAGAATTAACAATATAAAAAATTACCTTGTCTGTGAGTACCCATTGCTGCTAGACCCAGACCAAGACAACCACCATGCCTAACAACTTCATTTGAAGCTTCTTTCAACTGATTTAATAAATAATCGATTATGGATGCACCGTGATTTGCATGAATCAGACCTAATGCGTAAAGTCCACCTCCTTCCGTGTAACCAGCAGAAGAACCAGAATCTTTCGGGAGATAAGAGGACATTAAATGGAGGGCTTCATTTTCATGTCCTTTGTGGATGACACCCAAACTAGCGGTAGCACTGAATTTAGCCCAGTTTGTGGCTCTAGCCAACCAATCTAAATTGTCTCTCAAAAACTGGTCACTAGTGGTTCCACAGTGCATGAATGAATTAGCCACCACAGTTGCTGTGTGACACACGGAATTCCTCACAGCTTCTTTAGTCTGCTTCAGTATCAGCATGTCTGTGTGGTTGTTTCGAATGAGGAATTGCAAATTCAAGGCTATAGAAACCTCCCCGCCTAAGATTGTGGCCAGTTTTTCAATTCGTTCTTGATGGCACTTTTGCTCCTCATTCTAAAAAGAGGAAACGGTAAGGAAAATTA